TTTTTGAGGGGGGGGTGTGCCGTTTTGCTTTTGTTTGGGGGCCACACCTGGTGGCGCTCAGGGGCTCCTGGCAGGGATCAGGAGACCACATGGGATGCCGGGGACCGAACACAAGTTGGCGGTGCGCAAGACCCTACCTGCTGTCTGATCCTCCAGCTCCTGACCTCTCAATTAGAGGGCTTGTTTGTTTGCTTGTTTGTTTTATTTTTGTTTGGGGCCCACACCCGGCAACGCTCAGGACTTGCTCCTGGCTTTGCACTCAGAGATCACTCCTGCTGGTGTGCAGGAGACCCTATGAGATGCTGGGGATGGAACCTGGGTCGGCCTCTTGCCAAGGGAAACGCTCTCCCCCCGCTGGACTATCATTCCAGCCTCCTTGAATTCTCCATCTTGATTATCATTCCCGGAACAAGAAGCTCATTACCCAGGGAGGGTGCCCTCGCGGATCCGGGGAAGGGTTGTAGATGAGTGGAAGCCTCGCTCCTGTTGGCAACCCCAATTATCCAGCTGAAGACAACGGCCATGAAGTCACATCAGCCATGCACTTAACGGAAGACAAGTCAACTCTGCAGGCTGGGCAGAGCAGCCAATAAAGGCTCTAAATGCAAACCGGTATTTCATCTGACACTTAACTACCCAATTACACTGTTCCTAAGTGCTCTTTTAAATCACTGCATACTTTCTAGATTTATGTATTTAATATACAAACTATGCCGCATCTGTACGTTAATATCATAGTTCAGCTTCACTCTTCAGCCCATCTAACCAAGCTTTCTAGAATATTTATGGACGTTCCCTTTATTACCTCTAGGATCTAATCCCCACACTGAGATGTAACTGGGTCCCCAGAGCCTCCTATGCCCGGGTTAAATATCTTAGCTGCCAGGAGGTCCACTTCACTGAGTCCAGGGGGTCAGAAGACAAACCTCCTCAACCCAACAACTAACTTCTCGAGTAGGTTCGCCCAAATCCGGCACGGAGTTGGGAATTGCTTATGGATACCAAGGATGCGGATGATCTGAACTCAGACCTCAGGGTGCTCACTCTACCTGAGAGAACATCAATGCCCAAGTAGCCGTTAAAGAGCCGGAGCGACAGTACAGTGGGTAGGGCGTTTGCCTTGCACACAGCCAACCTGGGTTCAATTCTCAGCATCCCAGATGGTCCCCTGAGCCCCTCCAGCAGCGATTCCTGAGCACAGAGCCAGGAGTAAGCCCCTGGCCCACATCGCCAGGTGTGGTTCAAACAAAACAAAACAAAACCAAGTATTTGTTGGAGTACATTGAATAGAGAGTCCACATCTGGTGTCTGCGGCGGGGTCTCCTGTGTCTGACCAACTGACTTAAGAGCAGCAGCTTCTCCTGCTCTCTCAGAACGAAGCGGCCTGGCCAAGGCGTCTCAGCCCCTGCCTGGAAGGCAGAAGCCGTTCTGCACCACAGCCCTCTTCAGGGGGGAACTGAAGACATGGGGGAGGCTGGGTCTGCCACACCCACAGTGCACCCACAACACTCTGGCACCTGAGCAGGGCGCTGGGCAGAGTCTGAGGGAAGCCAGGAGAGAGTGGAGAGAGGCCCCTGCATCTCCCTGCCACACAGCTCCTTCCCCACCCCTGCGAGGCTCAGAGGCCCAACCGACAGCTTCCTCAGTTCCTGACCTGTCCAGTCAAGGCTGAGGGGGCCCCGGAAGCAGCCGCCTGGGTGTGCTGCGCACCACCAGCCCCTCAGAGCACTTCTGAGGACACTGGCCACACTGCCGCCCTCCTGTGAGCTGGCGCCATATGCCCTCCAGAGCTAATTATAGGTCAGGGAGCTAGCAGGCCAGCGTGGGGACAGATGGTGACTTCATGCCGCGCCATACACACCTGTCCCTCCCTGGCCCCACCCCAGTCCCTCCATTTCACCCAGTGCCCTACCTGGGAGCCGGACTCGCAGGCAACTTTCCTCCCGGAGTGCGGCCTGCCTGTACCCCGACTTTCCTGGCCCCCACTGTGCAAACAAACCCGCTCAGAAACACACCTTGTTTCTCTAGCAACCAGTTAGTTCAGCCACCACTACACTGGGGTAAAGCGCCCCTGGCCACTAAGGGCCAGCGCCCCTCAACCCTAACACCCCTGAGTCTCCCTTCTGGGGCTTCACTCCTGCCTCTTCCTCCACAGTCTGGCTCCTCCTCTTCTTCCTCCTCCTCCTCCTCCTCCTCCTTCTCCTCCTCCTCCTCCCCCAGCTCTGGCCCTAAGAGACCCCAGACAACTCTCTGCTCAGACAGACAGTCCTCAGACAGACAGCCCTCGGACAGATGGGCCTTGGACAGACAGCCATCGGACAGATAGCCCTTGGATAGACAGCCCTTGGACAGACAGCACTCAGACAGCCCGGTGCTGCTGCTGGCCTCCCGACGCACTGTGAGATCTCACACATCAGACCCGCGCAGCAGCACCGGCCCAGATGCCACCGGACGAGTCTTCCCTCCACGTCCCACATCCCCAACACTCTGCCACGATTAGAGAGGGCGTCTCCCACTGTACACCCCCACCCCGAAACGATGATGACCAGCACCAGCCCATTGTTTGGAGGTACCCCACGTCTCAGGCAGCCTCTCAGGTCTCGGGACCAGTCCTAGAAAATACCCAAGGGAAGTCACCCCAACCCCTCTCTTTGGCAGGTTCCCTTGAGATGACCTGGCAGGGATGACACCTGGGGGAGAGGGGCTGGTGGGAGGAAACCAGCTCAGACGGCTCTTTGAAAGCATGTAGACAACACTCTTTAATCAACAGCACTGTACACAATCAGGGGGCAGGGGCGCCGGGAACAAGGTGGAGGCACTGCTGTACTTCGGCCCCAAATTGGCTTCAGAAGACCCAGCACCTAGGTGGTATATAGCAGATGCTGTCAACGTTTGCTGGCTGTTGCCTAAAGTTCTGGGGATCAGTTCCAAGCCCCTGTGGGGTAGCCTTAGGAGAATGGCACACCTGGCCACTGCAGGGGCCCCTCAACGTGCAGTGGCCCCTCTCCAGGGGCCCTCCAGGCCAAACAGCTTCCCCCAGAACCACTTGCTGGCTGGGTGGAAGGAGACCGACGGCAGCCCTCACCCCTCAGATGGACCCCACCAGCACGGCTGTGGGTAAAGGTGACATCAGCCTAGCACACCTTGTCTTCCTCCTCGGCGCAAACCCCCACAACCACCTTTCCCCACCCTCCCAACCCGCCTGCGGGGGGTGGGTCTGTGCAGGCAGACGGACCCCCAGCGGCCCTCCAGCGGGCGTTGGGGTCTCTCCTGAGTCCGGGGGGGCGGGGGGTCGCGACCCTCCCCGCCCCCAGCAGACTTCCATTGGCTGCTCCTCCACCCCCAGGCCCGAGCACTGCGGAGATGGGGCGTCTGCAGAGCCCGAGGAGCGCCCGAGCCGGCGCGAGTAAGGGGGAGTCGGGCGCGGCGAGGGCCGGCGGGCGAGGCCCCGGGCAGGTCGCAGCCTGCAGCGCCGGGACCTCAGCCCTCCCTCCGGGCGCCCAGAGGGGCGGGCTGGCCCCGGACCTCGGGGCGCCGAGCTGTCTCCCGCGGGGAGAGCGGGGCGCCGCGCGCTCCGTGCCCCCCGCAGACCTGCCAGCTCAGCTCCCCTCCTCCGCGGCCGCCGGGGACGAGGGCGAACTCCACGCCCTCCCCGCTCCCCGGGCATCGCCCCCCTCCCTCCCCTCCAAGGGCACCGGGCACTGCAAAGGCGGCGCGGGGCGGCCGAGGGGGCAGCACCCCCGCCGGGGACCCCACGTCCGGAGCCAAGCGGGAGGGTGCTGATTTCCAGGGCGCGCTAGCTAGCCCGAGACCCCTCCCCAAACTGCGAGGGCAGCAGGAGGCGGGGGCAGAGGACGGGGCGCCCCCCATCCCGCGCTCCGGACGCTCACCTGCCGGCGGTCGCCGCGGCCGCGCAGCTCGGCTCCGAGGCGGCAGGGTCCTCCCCCGACCCGGGGAGCCCTACCTGACCCGGGGGAGCCGCAGCCTGGGCCGGCGCCGGCCGCCCAGCCCCGCCCTGCGCGGGGAGCCTGGCCACGCCCCGGGGCGGAGCCTGGGGGCTAGGCCCCGCCCCGGCACGTGACCGCCGCGCCGCGGGGGCTGGCGCCATCTTGGCCCGGGCGCCCGGCTCGGCCCAATGGGAGGCGCGTGCGCGCGCCCCCCCCCCGCCCCGCGCGCGCCCCGCTCTCTAGCTGCCTCGGGCGCGCGCCCTCCCGCCCCGCGCGCGCCCCGCTCCCAGCCGCCGAGCTGCCTCGGGGCGCGCGCCCGGCCCGCGCCGCTACTAGCGGGCGCGGCGTGTGTCGCACTCCAGGGCCGCCGCGTGCCAAGCCGAGTCTCGCCTCCCCGCTCGGAATGCCTCTGCCATCTGGCTCGCCTGGCCCCGCCACGGTGCCCACTCCTTCCTTTGCCATACCCCGTAAGCACGTCTACACGTGTCGAGGATTTTTATATACGTGCGATGTGTAAAAAAGCCACTGAAAGAATCCACACGTTCTATATCAGCCACAAATGCTGTAGTTGGAATTAATGGCACATACCACCTTTTTTTTTTTTTTGTTCTCCCAATACATTCACCATTTGTCTTCATTTCCCTGTATCTCTAGGAGACAGAGGGAAGACCCGAGTTAATTCTTCTGATTTTGGAGGTCTAAGTACTGTAGCTGATTTATGTCATTTGAAGTCTGATGCTCTGAACAAAACCATAGGCTATATGAAGGAAGGGACCTTTGCAAAGTGTTTTTAATATTGTAGTCCAGAAATTTCCAGCTCTTTTCGAGGTGCACTTGGGTTCTCATCAGAAGAAAATCCCCAGACACTAATCAAACACCAGTGACCCTAGAAAGATAAGGTCAGTGCAGGAGGCAGGTTGGCTGGGTAGCGAGCGACCACTGGTCACCCACCCCACCAAGTCTGACAGTATGCTAAGTGGACAGAAGAGCCCTATCTAACACATCTATCATCTCTGCATTTGACAAAAAAACTAAGAAAGTTGAGTCAGAACACAAATTACAAATCAAATTTATTTCACTTTCCTTCTAAAGTTAACTCCTAAATGGGAGACACACAATTCACCGGAACAACTCTCCTACTCCCTGAAATCGGGGTACAGGGCTTGGAGCTTCTCTCTTCCTGACTCAGTGTGGCAACTTTGGATTGTAGAGATCTGAAAGGTGCTTCTGTCCTTGGGTTGTTTGTTTATTTCACTTTAAATGCCCAAATTCTGTTTTTCACTGACCCAGGCTTGTTTTCTCTGTGAACAGCTTTGGTACCACCCTCAGCGTGGGGTAACTTTGCTGTTAACAAAAGAATTAAGCAGATGCTTCCTAAGAATATTCTTTAAATAGCAAAGGGTAGAGAGGAAGGCAAGGGGGAAAAAACATGCTAATTTAGCAGTTTGGCTCATGATAATAGCTGCCCTCACAAGGTCCCCATGTTTAAAGAGTATTATCATAATGCCCACCTCCTGGCATTATCGGCTAATAAGCAGCACACTGGTTAATTTGGAGGGTGGGATGGGACCAGAGAGACAAGAGGAGGGTCATCATATTAACAACCACAACCATGCCCACCCACTCAGCCCCAGATTCCTTTCTGAGAGGAAAGCAGCTGAAGGCAGCCCTGTGAGGAGCAGCAGTGCCTGGCCATTCTGGAGGGAAGAAAGGCCAGGCTCCTGCAGGCCACGCGTCACCCAGCAGCCACTGGGCAGAGCACTGCGTGCTGACAGCTCAGGAAGCGGCTTCCAATGGGGATGCATTTTTCCTAAAATGACCTTCTACATAATACATGCCTTTCTGCCAATCCAATGAGAATAGCACTACCCTTCCTGCAGTGACTTCCTCGCTTTTACTTTTTACTTAAAAAAAGTCATTTAGAAGATTTTTTCACTGACTTACAGACCTTTGAGGCAGAATAGGGATAAGGTATACATATCACAATCAAATGATTTTTACTTTGCTATCAATATACTCTCTGCCTGCTCCCTTTTGCCGCCAGATACCACAAAAGAACTGAGACTGATTTTTTGGTAACTGTGGTCTAGCAAAAAGATGTGGGCCGGTGTCCTGGTTCTGTCACTTACTAGCTATCATATCCAGGGTAAGTCACTGATTTCTTTTTTTTTTTTCAACCATAAAACAGGACTAGTATCACCTCCCCTGCAGGATTAGGAACATTAAAGATACTCTGTGAAGTTCCTAGGATAGTACCAAGGGCACAATTACCACCATCAGTCTCAAGACAAAAAGTAAGCAAACAAATAAAACCCTAAAATTCAACTGGGCAAAGCAGTATTTATACAATAAATATCCAAAGATTACTTTTAAGGAAAGATACAGAAGTCAGTCTTGGAAGATGTGAAAACCCTGTCACCTGCTTAATTTCTGTAGGAGGGTAAAGGGAGAAGATAGTCACTTGAATTTAAGGGGCAGCTAAATTGGCCGCAACATAGCAACAGTATGAGGCCTCTAAGGAATTTCTGATTTCAGGGGATTGCTGAAACTTCCTTTTTTGGAAAATTCAGGAGTTGAATTCTTCCCTAGAGCAAGGCCATCCATTTTCATGGGGAAAAAAGAACAAAGAACAAACTCAAATAGCACCAAAAGGGGTTTAACACAGAAAATAGGGCCAGGTTTCTCTTCAAATGCAAATTTGTACATTAAAATATGCTTGTAAGTAATCACTGTTTTTCCTCTTGATTCCAGCTTTCTCCTCCCCCTCACAGGGGCCCAGGAGCCTGAGGTGCAGTTGCATCACTAGTCACACAACCCAGCTGCCCCTTTCCCAACTGCAATCCCACTCCTAAGGCCGTCCTAGCGCAGGGCTGCCGCGGGGGCGGGAAGCAGTGACTAGGCTCTCAGGGAGAAGGGGTACTGAGGGTGCCACCAGTCAAAGAGCCGGACACTGTGCACGGGGTCCAGGATGACTTGCACGCCCTGTTCACTGCGCAGTTTCCGGCCTCCGTGAACGGGAGAATCCTGGAAGACCAGCCTCACTCGGTGATGCCGCATGTCTGTGCTCACATTGATAGTAAACTGGGGAGGAAAAGGAAATGCAGGACTCAAGTTAAATCTGGTTTTCGTATGGCTCGCTCAGCATCAACCACCCAGACACACTGGACCTTGGCCACCCCAGGAGATAATCTCTAAACTATAAGACCAATACCTCTGCAAAAGGTTACGAGATTCAAGTTTAATTTTTTTCAATTCTTCTTACCTTCATATATTTGATCTATGCTGCAACGACTGAATACACTAGGGCTCATGAACACAGACTATATCAATGCCGATCTTTGAAAGTTGGGTTAGTGCTAGACTAGTGCTCAAAGGGATTCTGAGAGTTGAGAAAGTTAACAAGACAAATGAATTTGATCACTTTTTGGGGGGGGGGGTAAAATGAGCCACAAGATATCTAAATATGTATGTGCTGGCTTGCACGGAATAGCTGAGCATGCAACTAGAGTGTTAAATAAGGCTTCCCCAGAGGGAGGATAAAGGTGTCGGTAATAAAAGGCATTTATGACCTCATTTCAATTACAGAAAATCGTGAGCGGGCATATCCATGAAAGAACAGAAGAGCTCCCAGAGTGGGGATGTGGTAGAAGATAGATATGCTCTTCCTGAATGACGACCTGGGCTCAACCCCTGGCACCAACGAAAGACAATGTAGGTGAGAGTGCGCTCACGGATGGGTTGGAGCTGACATTTTAGGGTCGATCCTTGTACTGCCAGTCCCTGAGTTCTACTGGGTACCTCCCCAAAACAAAATACAACAAAACAAAATTCAAAGAACTCCTGAAAGGTTACCTACTGGAGTTGGGGATGTGGCTTAATACTAGAGCATGTCTTGCTCTACATGAGGTCCTAGGTCCAAATCCCACACCCCCGAAACACAGCAAATAAAAAGATTCTGTTGCAGTAAAATCTAAGTAACTTTGACTTTCTCCATGCACTTATGTATTATGTAAATTCTTTATATACAGTATTATTTTACCATTTAAGGATTCCAGGGGGGTCAGCCGCCCAGCAATGCTCAGGGATTATTCTGGCTCTGCACTCAGGAATTATTTCTGGAGGTGCTCAGGGGACCTCATGTGGTGCTGGGGATCGAACCCAGGTCCAGCCACGTGCAAGGCCATGCCCTCCCCGCTGTGCTACCTCTGCAGCTCTGCTCCCTCGCATTAGCCTAATGCTGCCCTATGTGTTGTACTCCCTCTGGCCCCTGAAGATATTTTATTTCTATCTTAATTTTTCTTTTTTGAGGGCTTGCCCAGCAATAGTCAGGAGCCCTGGGGCAGACAATTCAATGCTCATAGCTGGCAATGCACTGCCGGGGGCTACAGGGGACAGCTCAGTAGAATGTGCCCAGGAAGAGTTGCAGTGCTGACAATAAAACTTGGGGCCAAGGCCCTCTGAGCTATTTCCCAGTCCCCCAAAAGGTTACTTTAAATTGGGGGAGGGCACTAAAGCAACAATACAGCAAGAAGCGCACTTGCCTTGCTGTGGCAATCTCAGCATTCCATATGGTTCCCAGAGCACCACCAGGGTAATTCCTGAATGCAGAACAAGGAGTGACCTCTGAGTATTGCCAGGTATGGCCCAAAAGCCAATAATAATAATAATAATAAAAATAAATGTGGGGGGATGTCTCACTATGTATCTCTGAAATAAGCGTAAGACACAAAAAAGATAAATCCCATGTAGTCCCCAGTTGAAATATTTAAAATCCTGGGAAATAAACCCGTGGCATAATTTAATCAGTAACACTGCAGAAAAGGCAGAGCCGGCTCCCCCTCCCAGGCAACACTCTTGTCTGGCCCCCACACAGATGGCTGCCTCATCGGACACACTGCGCACCTCTGTACGCCCCAGCGCTACTTCACCGGGCTGAGGGGTCTCACACACCACTGTTCACAGAATAGAGAAGGGGGATATAGGTTAAACATTCTCAGACAAAACCCACTTGTCCACAAATCTGTCTGTGCTTACAAGCTGTCAGCAATTTTGTAATTATTCTTTGAACATATCTTCCTTCGCTGTTAAACTTAATAATCTCTTTTGAACCCTGGAACCAGAGAGCCAGTACAGGAGGTAGGGACTGTTAACTTGCATGCAGCAAACCCCAGCACCACATATGGTCACACAAGCACTGCCAGGGGAGCACTTAGCACAGAGTTAGAAATAGCCCGACATTGGCAGCTGTGTATATTGTCATCACCCCCTCTTCACCCCATCCTCTCCCGAAACATACACACACACTCACACCCCTTTAACAAACTCATAGCACAGACAAACTGGTTGGGTTATTTTTGAATGTTTTGAGTTTGGGTTTTTTTTTTTTAATCACTTTCAAACCTTAATTATAGTAAGTCTATGGACTAGCTGTAGGTGACATTCTCAGCCCCCACTTACCAGGGTAAATATCATTCCCATGACAATTGGAATAAAGATGAAATTCAGGGTGGTGACCTGCAGGAGACAGCAATCCTGGTCTGGGTTGGTATGAACATCTTCATACTGAATAGGAGGCTGCAACCCTCCCGTACATTTGCTCTTTAATCTGGGGGACTGAAAAACACTGAGAATTAATCTAATGACCTAGAGAATTAATACTGGTTGAAAGATTCTACCAAAGAACATCCGAAGGCTCATCTAAAATCAGTTGAGATCCACCTCTCTGCTATTGTCTCTTCATAGACATACGGTTTCTACACAGATCAGGGAACACTTCATCTTCAAAAGCAAGGGAAACACATTTGGGTGAATGGGGCTTTATTTAAATGGCATAGTAGCCAGAAATGGGAAATCAGAGGCTCTCCAGTATCTAGAAGATTACAAACATTTTGTGATTTGTGACAAATGCTTTGTGTCAAACTCCAAAGCACAACTGTTTCACAAAAGGGATGGAAGCAAAAGTCATCTACCTATAGATGACCATAAAATAAGAGTTACCAGTCCCAGGAGGAGAGGCTCAATCAGCATTCACTCCTCTGCAGTGATTCTGGTCTCTGTTAAACACTGTCCCTCATGCCCTCCCCATAAAGGTCTTATTAGTGGACTCCCTACCAACACAGAATGAAATCACGGACTATGGGGAGTTTATTAAAAGCTAACTATGTATATCAGGTTTTCTTTCTTAAAACCATGTTTCAAAAGAAAGAAAAATCAGTAAGAAACAATTTCCTTTCATTACAAACTCATCTGGAATTTACCTACCATCAAGTGTGTGAAACTTGTCTCACCAGGAAGCAAATAAGCTTAAGGCAGGACGGTAAGCAAAGACAAGCCCCTCCTTCTAGGCTTCAGTATAAGCTTAAGGCAGCACTGAGGAAAGACAGTGCAATCTACTCTCCTCAGAAAGCTTTTTGGCACTGTCTCTTCACAGTTTCCCCAAATCACCATGGATATAAAACCATGTAAATTACTGTCATTTACAAACTCACTTGTTTTAAACCACATACTTCAAACAAAATTTTAAAAACTTCTCTTAGAGGGAAGACTTTTTCCCTCTAAAAGGTCTTCAAGTATACAAGTATACGAAAAAGTTAGTGACATCATATACATCATGTAATAAACTTCTTCTTCTTCTTCTTTTTTTTTTTTTTTTTTTTTGCTTTTTGGGTCACACCCGGCGATGCACTGGGGTTACTCCTGGCGGTGCTCAGGGGACCATATGGGATGCTGGGAATCGAATCCGGGTCGGCCGCGTGCAAGGCAAACGCCCGACCCGCTGTGCTATCTCTCCAGCCCAATAAACTTCTGCATACCACTCTACCATTGAGTATTCTGCTGCCGCCACCTTTGCTCTCTTTGCCCTCACTTATCCCTTTTTTTTTTTTTTTTTTTGCTTTTTAGGTCACACTCAGCAATGCTCAGGGGTTACTCCTGGCTCTGCACTCAGAAATTACTCCTGGCAGTGCTCAGGGGACCATATGGAAAGCTGGGAATCAAACCCAGGTCGGCTGCGTGCAAGGCAAATGCCCTACCCGCTATACTATCACTCCAGCCCCTCACTTCTCATCTTATATATAAAGAAAAATATAAAAATCATATACACTCTGTGTTTGGGGGACACAAAATATTCTGAAAGTAACAGTGACACAGCACCCTTATTCAGCATGACTAAGGACACTTTTAAATAACCACAGTGTCATTATCATCACCTAAAAAAATTAACAATAGTTCAAGCTTCTTTAAATATTGATCATAAGTTTCTATTCCCTGGCCCAGAATCCACTCAAGAGATTTGACCTGCATTATGCTGTGTGTCCTTCACAAAGAACAGTCCCTTTAGCACCTTTCTTTTCTTTTAATGGCATTACTATATTAAAAAAAAAAAAACCCTCTTCTGTGTATTAGGATTTTTATACCTAGTGAAATTTATTGAAATTTATTAGAAAATGACAGTACCAGAAAATCAAAAAAGATCTGAGCACAAACCTGTTTTTTGAACTTGAAATTGAATTCCCACATTGGTTCCTGTCTGCTCCCAACAATCTTTCTGCACCAGAAAAGTAAGCACTGTGGAAAAAAAATAATAATAAGCCAAAATATAATATAAATCAAAGATAGAAAAATAACCCAAATAAGTGAAAAAAAATAATCAGCAAAAGCCTTTGTGCGTGAGCACCTCTGAGGTCAGCCACAGCCCACAGCCTATTGAGAACTTTGGCACTGTTAGGAACCCCCCAATTTGATGCTGTTGGAACAGGGAAAGCGACGACCCCAGGGCTACCAACAAAAGAAAAGGGGACCCAGATGCGTCAGCCTAAGAGGCTGCTGAGCTCAGCCCCTAAGGTTCTCATCTTAAAAGACAAAAACAGAGTCTCTGGAGAGCGGGGCAGCCTCCAATTCAGCAGGCCACGCCTCCTGGCAGCCAGCAGCCGCGAGGCAGGCAGTGGCCGCAGCAAGCCCTGTCCTCCGAGCAGGCCGAGCAGGGCCTCTGGGAGCAGACAGCCGTGTGGAAACTAGAATCAGGCCGAGTTCAGTGGTAAGAGTGAGCCCCTCAACAAACATCAGGCTACAGCTAGGGTTAAGCACAAGAAGTTAAGTACCTCCCAGGGAATAAGGGGTGGGTCGTCCGCCGTGCCAGCTGTCCTGCCCTTCACACATGCCCTGTACGTCCTGCTGTTCCATCAAAAATAATGGGCTTGGCTTTAAGGGACAAACACTTCTGCTGCCATCACAACGGCTCCAGTGTCCCACACAAGCTATGCTACTGGAAAGAGAGAGAGGGAGAATCAAATACGAAAAGCTGGCGTCCAGGAACACGGGACCACTTCCTTCAGGCATGCTGGCAACTCCCTGAATGCCATGCGACTGTGGTTAAACAGGTGGCATGGCCATGCATGGGGCACCTGCCACTGCAGGTCCCGGAGCCTCTGCAGAAGATCTCTCACAAGGCACAAAAGCAGCAGCCAGAGCCTGAGACACCTCTGTGGATTAAGACTTTAGTTATCACCACCTTGGTTTTTCATCGTCCATTCTTAAGAAAAATTAGTATTCAGTGATAAGAGTATGAAGACACAGTATTTGAGACTTAGGCAGTAGCACTTGCATTGTGCACTGGAGCCGCTAGGATGTGTCAAGCATGAGGAGTTTGCCCAGTGCTGCTCTGCTCCCAGCAACTGAGTCACAGGCAGCACAGTTGGCTGCCGGGCACTTGCCACTGCACCAATTAGTCTGCCACCACCAAATGTTTCTGGGGGAGGGAAACTGTAACTGTGAAACGATCTGCTCTCCGCTCACATTACATGCAGAAGCAGCTGCTGGGTGAAATTCTACTCAGCCAACATTCTATGCCTGCCTAAAGCCCATCAGTGAGCAGGGAATTACCTGAGCTCAGCCAATGGCCCTGCCCACCCCGGGAGCAGTCCATAATCTTGGAATCAATGGGACCCAGTTCATCAGTATATAGCAGGTGGGATATCGTCCTGCTAAACTAGGGGAAAGAATCACCGTCTAACATCCAAAGCACAAAAACAATATAAGAGAAACTGCAAAATACCAGATTTCAGATAAAATTTCTCACAAATGACAAAGATATAAAATGTAGACACTGATTATTAGGTAAATGAGAAAAAAGGCCGAGCCATCAACCGCCTTAAAAAAAAAAAACAACATATATGTGGGGCCAGAGAGAGATTACAGCAGCAGGGTAGGGTGTCTGTTTGCATGTGGCCAACCCGAGTTTGATCCCTGGAACCCCATATGATCCCGAGTCCACCAGAGCCAGGAGCGAGCACTGAGCACCACCGTGTGTATGTGGTGTGTGTGTGGGGGGGGGGGGGGGGGGCGGGTGATGGGATCACATAAGCATTAATAGCCTTGCTTGGCAAAGGTGCATTTACCAAACATTTCATTATGCGAGTGTGCACCACAGACTGTGCACCACAGACTGTGCACCACAGACTGAGAACTTCACACAAGAGGGCCAGGAACAGGTCTACAGCAAGACTCAGGTATTTCTGAGACAGTTTCTCTTTCCAGAAATATTGATAGAAAAGTCTAGAACACAGGAAGGTTCTAGAGTCTCTGTAATGACCTCCTGAGAATCTGGCAACTGCTGACGCTTAGGAGATGTGAAAAGAATTAAGTCCACATCCTGATCTTCTAAGTTAAGTTCATCAACAAAGGAGAATCCCAAATGTCATGGCTGTCTTTTTTTGTTTTTTGTTTTGTTTTGTTTTGGGGTCACGCACAGCAATGCTCTAGGCTTACTCCTGGCTCTGTGATCATTCCTTGTGGGCTTGGGGTGTGATATAGAGTGCCAAGGACCAAACCTGGGTCTGTGTGCAAGCAAACACCCTATCTGCTGTCTGCTGTACTATTTCTCTAGCCCCTCTTATATTAAAGAGAAAATCACCTTAAGATGAGAAAATTCCTGGGGCTGAATACAGCAGGTCGGGCACTTGCCTTGCACTCAGCCAACCTGGGTTTGATCCCCGAAGCCCACCAAGAGTAATCTCTGAGAAAAGAGCTTAAGAAAAAGCTCTGAGCACTACCGAGTATGACCCAGAAGCAAAAAAAAATTCTGAATTGTTTTGAAATTCTGTATCCTAATTTCAAATACCTTTTATGAATTATTATCTATCATCTGAGCTATGTGGTTTCCTCATCTCAAGCCCATAAAAACCATCTAAAATGGCCCAATGTACAATGCATGAAAGTAAGTTAAAAAGTATAAAGAATATGGAAAAGGCACAAGAAGGCATTACGGTAAAGGTGACACATAAGCCAGCCTGGCATAGCAGGAATGCCTTGGGAGTAGTAAGAGCCCAGACCCCTCTAAGTTTTCCATTAGTCTCCTAGTAACCTGGGACTCAGCCCTCCCCAGCAAGGAAGTTGGAGCCAAGCCAGGGAAAGAGGCCCATCACATGAGTCCATTAGTTCGCTCCCAACTCCATTTCTCACTTACTTTGGAATTCTTTAGTGTGCTGGGAGTACTTTCTGGAATGGCTGGATTCTTGGAGATCCGAGCAGCAAATGGCTCATACATGTGGTACAGAGATCGAATGACACAGGCCCGGAGACAGCGCAGCTTCTCCATCGACTCTGGGCGCAGGCGTAAAGGCAGAGAGGCGTCCAGCGTGTAGTGCCTGCAACAGGACACATTACTCCCACCAATATGGGACAGGGCTCTCCCGCTCGCCAACAGCCTCCACGGACGCCACTTCTCTGCAGGTCCCTTCCTGGGCTCCCACTGGCCGGGCACCAGCGTATCTTTCATGCTCTCCCAAGCACAATCACCATCTCCTCCATTTCTGGGCTAAGTCTGGTGCCTGGCTATGCGCACTCTCATCCATGTACTCCTGGTGATCCTGGGTGCTCTAGTTCTGAAACTTCAATCCTTACTCACTCTCTCTACAACAGGCCATGTGTGCGCTGACACCACTACAAATGCCTCAGCTGCCCAGAGAACCTGAAGGAGGACAGTCACCAACTTCACCTGCCACTCGTCTCAGCACATCCTAACCCCCTGCTGCCAGCGTCAAAGTCTCCCTCACTGCACCCAGGCTCCAGATCAACTCCTCACTTACCACGATACCCTATCTCCTCACCACCACAGTGATGCACAGGGAGCATAAACGTAAAAACCTGTATACCAGAAGGTGACTGAACATCGATGAAACTAATCCAGCTGGGAAGACAAGAAGGTAGCTGCAGACTTTTAATATTCGCTTAACATAAACCTCTGAAGAAAAATCAAAGACGTCTTTTTGAGGCCTGAAGCAAGATTTGGTGCTCAAAGTAGACACCAGACAAGAGACGTTTACCTGGGTGAACCAGTAATTTTGATTTTAAATTAGACGGAGGCTCAAGGAGTCCCCAGCTAGGCTCGTGCACGCCCGGGCATGGAGCAGAGGGAGTGCACAGAGGTCACCATCCCAGGGCAGGAGCTGCAGGTGGCAAGCAGCAATGGAACCAGCTACCCAGAGTGCAGAGTGCTCTGCGGTCGCACCTTCGGTACAACCTGGTCCAAAAGGCAGCGGTGCAGGTGACAGTCCAGGCATTCTTACAGATCAGGGAAAAATTCACAATGTCCTCAGGACGGATGTAGGAGGCCAGCAATAGCCAGATATCCATAGGATACTCTTCTCCTCCAGCCCCATCCAGGTCTTCTGAAACAGAAAAGAGAACTGCGATCTTTAAACTTCAATAAATGCGTATACAGAGTCCCCCAAACTGTCGTTTTAGTTCTACTAAGGATTGCACAGTTAAGAAAGTGATTGTACATATGGAGAGTGAACTTAGAATTGAGCTGCTTCATGTTCAGCAATTACACTGTTGAGCATCTCTCCCAAGGACATAAAAACATTCAAAAGGACATATGCACATCATTATTTATTGCAGCACTTATCACAATAGCTAAGATATGGAATCATCCCAGGTGTCCAACAACAGACGGATTACAAAGATGTAGCACATATACACAATGGAATACTATGCAGCTGCAAGGAACAATGAAATTATGCAATTTGCTGGTTAGAACTGGAAGGTTATTTCATGGTAAGTGAAATAAGCTGGAAGAAAGACAGGATGATCTCACTTATCTGTGGAACAGAATACTGGATGAGGAAATAAAGTGAACTGAAGGGAAGATGCCCAGATCACCCTTGACCCCAGAATACAGGGAGGAGGAAAAAGGAAAGAAATCAAGGAGGGAAGGAAAAAAGAGAAAGGGATGTAATGGAGAAACAGAGGTCAGTGGCCTCAGGATACCTCAATGCTCCCAGTGATGGTTCTACAGCAACAGCACAGACTCAACCAACACTGGAAACATGAGATCCAAACTACAACCACAGAACTTTGAAATGTGCCTGCCCTGTTTCATTCGAAGCACCCCGGGGGGGGGGGGGGGTGAGACCATCTCCCCACCCCAAGGGACCCAGCTCCGCAGCAAAAAACTTCCAGAATCCAACCACTGCCATGCTCACAGCCACTCTCCACACCCTCGAGCTGAGCCTCACCAACGAGTAAACCTATTCCTGGACACTTCATACCACACACCACCCATTCTCCAGGAGTACCACACACATTTGATGGGGTTCAAATTAGGAGGCAACCAATCTTAGAGGGAAATATTTTTTTACAGATATAAATATATAAGCACACAAAGCTCAAGCTTTAACAACATGTTAGTGATCTCCTATAAACGGGCTTAATGGCCCCTGGATGAAATACAACGATCTTCATACTCTCGGGGCTGGAGCAATAGCACAGTGGGTAGGGCGTTTGCCTTGCACACGGCCGACCTGGGTTCGATTCCCGGCATCCCATATGGTCCCCCAAGCACCGCCAGGGGTAATTCCTGAGTGCAGAGCCAGGAGTAACCCCTGAACATCGCAGGGTGTGACCCCAAAAAAAGAAAAAAAAATCTTCATACTCTTTCCTCTAAGGAAACTTTTTTGTAACATTTTCAGTGGTCTTTCATAACAAACAATACAAAATGTATTATTTCGGTTCTGCTTTGGGGCAGGGGTTGGGATTTGTTATGGAAACATCTGAAATATGGTTGTAGGATTGGTGTTTAAATATTAAATGTAATCAAATATTGTGAACTACTTTATAAAATTTAAAAAATTAAAAAGAAATGTGCCTGTCAAGGTGGCAGATGTGGGGAACAGAGGAAGGAGGGGGAGGGGGAGAAGGCGGAGGAGGAGGAGGAGGAGGAGGAAGAACAGGAGGGGGGAGGGGGAGGGGGATAGAGGTGGAAGAGGAGGAGGGGGGAGGGGGAGGAGGTTGTTTTACACAGGAGGAGGAGTAAGAGGGGAGATCTCAACAGGTCTAAGCAAACCTCTCAAGCTCATCATTTCCTGCTCACTCCAGCCGCTGGGAACATTTGCTTCCTGTGGGTCAGAACTGGACTTTGATAGCTATGTACACAAAACTTTGAAGATTTCAAAGCACCTCCGCCAGGACCTGGCTCAGAAGGAGTGCCAGTCTTGTAGGCACGAGGCTGAAGGAACTCAGGATTCCTGGCACCATAGCAGTGCATGACCTCTGGCACACCAGAGCCAAGCTAAAGGGCTGCCAACCCAGGTCATTGAGACAACCCGCCTTTGCATGCATTCCCCAATTCAACCCTAATCTTTGTTGAACGAAATGAGAATACTGTGTTCATTTTGCTAAGAAAACAGAACTGTCACCTAGTGAAGGTTAACAGAGAAGCCGGGCTTCCGACTCTGACTCCAACTCTGCACATCTATTCCGCCCTCCTGACTCCAACTCTGCACATCTATTACCTTCTGTCTCTATTCAAACATTTCCTTCAGTTTAATCACGGTCTGAGGAAACCACAAAGAGCTACGCGAACAGAAAACCAGGAGTTAGTGTCCTTTCCACACTCAGTAACTGCAGACACACCTTTTTCCCTTCTTCCTTCCCCCTTGTTCGGCAACCAGTGTGGCCAGTGGTCCTGGTCAATATTCAAAGATACTGTGACAATATTACCTGTCCCACTTCAGCCCCATGAATGACCCTTCAGACCTCACAAGGTGATCCTTCTCTTGACCCCAAGGTTCACTGTATATTTCAGGTTCCAGTTTTCACTTGAATTCACACGCCATATAAAAATCTAAATCTGGGATAAGCATAACCCTAACGTTTAAAATTTAGAACCAGTCACAACTATCCTAAAATTAGTTTTATTCTGCTGCTTTTGTTTTGTTCCCCAACCCACGTCCTGATGCGGCCCCTGCTTTCCTAGCTAACGTTTCCTACAGCGTCATGACCAGGATTACATTCAGTTCTCCACAACAGAGACCAGCACTTCTTAAACAACATCCTCTTCTCTGGTTTCTGTACCCTCAAGGTGTGTGCCCTGTTTGTGCCCAGTCCTCTCCCATGCAAACTCTCTCTGAAGAGAAGGCAAATGCCTCACAAAATATTTACTCTGATGAAATGCCTAAGTACTGTCACAATGCAGGGTTATTTAAAATGTTCTGTCTTTAAGAATAAGACTTACTAATCACTTACGGTTTTTAAACATAACTATTAGGAAACATTAAAACAGGAAGTTTAAATAAAATCTATAAAGATAAGCTTCAAAGAGCTAAGAATGAAGGACACAGAGACATGTTTTGGGGGCCATATCTGGCAATGCTCAGGAGTTACTCCTGATTCTGTGCTTAGGGATCATTCCTGGTGGGTCTCAGGGGACCATATGGGTTGCTGAGGATCAAATCCAGTTGACAGCATACGGGGCAAAGACCTGACCCTCTGTACTATGATTCCAGCCATGATTTAAGAAAATTTTAACAGGCATAAGTGAAAAAGGAAAGAATTCCAAGAGAAATAACTAGGATGAAGTTCAGACACTTAGAAAAATAAAGTGTATGGACGACTCATAATGTCTAAACACTAGGATTTTTTGTGGGATTTTTGTTGTCGTTCTTTAGGGGACATACCCAGCAATTCTCAGGGGTGACTCCTAGCTTTGCACTCAGAAAACTTTTTTTTTTTTTTTTGCTTTTTGGGTCACACCCGGTGATGCTCAGGGGTTACTCCTGGTTCTGCACTCAGGAATTACTCCTAGCAGTGCTCAAGGGACCACATGGGATGCTGGGAATTGAACCCGGGTTGGCTGCGTGCAAGGCAAACGCCCTACCCGCTGTGCTATCACTCCAGCCCCCAGAAAACACTTTTGGCAGTGCTTGAGGGACCATATGGGATGCCAGGGTTCAAAATCAGATTGGCTGCATACAAGGAAAGTACTCTACTCACTGTACTATTGTGCTGGCCCACAATTATTTACTTTCAATAGTATTTAAAAAGGAACTATTAACTTTATAAAACATGATCATGGTTTTTCTTGTAAAGAGTATCTTCTGAAAATTACTACCAAAATATTTACAGAGATAATGATAGGGTACTCAAAATAATTACGTGTATGTGCAGCTAAATAAACTATACCCTCTCTTCTTTTTGTTTCATTAAAAAAATGCTTTAAAGGGAAAAAAACCTAAGTCCAAGTAAAGTGAGTGAGAGAAGAGCAAGGGATCTAAAGATGAATTTTAGTTGACAATATGTCATAAATCATTATCTCTGATAAGAGACTGCTATCTTAAATATACAAAAGATTCTTAAGTTAGTCATAAAAAGATAAAACATCCAATTTTGAAACAAGCAAAAAACTTAAATGATCATTTCTCTAGGGAAGACATACAAATGGCAAAAAAGCACAAAAATCTTTTAAAATGTTCAAAGGCCAAAGGGATAGTACAGCAGGTTGGACGTCTGCTGGGGCCGACCCAGGTTCAATTCCTGGGCACTCCGCATGTTTCCTCAAGCACTAACAAGAATAAAACCTGAACAAAGAGCCAGGAATATGCCCTGAGCACCACCAGTGTGACTCAAAAACACAAACAAAGACACTGAAGCTAGAGGCACCTTTAAGGAGCCAACTATTGGACAAGCAAATAAAATCAAAGATAAACAAATGGGACCACATAAATTAAGAAATTTCTGCACCTCAAGGATGAAAATACAAAGATCAAAATACAAAGACACTATTCTGACTGAGAAAGACTATTTTATTTGCTCATCAGTTATCTGAAAAAAGGGTTACTATCTGGGGCTGGAGAGATAGACAGTACAGCAGGGAGGGTGCTTGCCTTGTACATGGCCGGCTCAGGTTGGATCGCCAGCATCCAATATGGTCCCCGAAGCACAAATGGAGTAATTCCTGTGTGCACTGTGTGCAGAGCCAGGCATAACCACTAAGCATTGCCGGGTATGACCCAAAAAACAAACAAACAAAAACACCAAAGGGTATATATCTTTAATATCAAAGATATATAAAGTACTGACAGAACTATATCCCACCCCACCCCCCAAAAAACCCAACCCCATCAAAAAATGTGGAGATGAACAGAAAGTTTCTCAAATACATGAATGACCAAAAGGTACATGGAAAAAAAAAGAGCTCTATAATCGTATTTCTCTACCTCAGCCCCCAAAGGATAGCTATCATTGAAAAAAAGGACCCAAAAATGCTTGAATTCGTTCTAAGTGTTGTCTATGAGTTTCTGATTTTTAGGTCTACATGCAATTCAATAATAAAATTGTGCCATGAAAAAAAAAATGCTCTATATCACTCATCACCAGGGGAATGCAAATCAAAACAATGAGGTATCACTTCAAACCAGAGACTAGCAGCACTCATCAAAAAGAACAACAGCCAGTATTGGCAAGGATTTGGAGGGGGCTGTGGGCAGGGGAACGAAACAGAGAGACCCTCACTCACTGCTGGTGGGAATGCTCACTTGTCCAGCCTTTCTGGAAAACAATATAAACATTCCTCAAAAATCCAGAAGCTAAGCTCCCATTTGACCCAGCAATTTTGATTCTTGGCATCTACCCCAAGGACTCAAAAACATTATGGAGAAAAGGTATTTGGACTCTCATATTCCTTGCCACACTATACACAACAGTGAAAATCTGGAAGCAATCCAAGTGTCCAAAAGGATAGATGACTGGATAAAAAAAACTATGGCCCATACACACAACAGAGTATTATTTGGCCATAAGAAAAGATGAAAGCATACAATTTCCCGCTACAGGGAAGATCTGGAGATTATCATGCGGAGTGAAGTTAGACGGAGATAGACTGACGCATATAATCTCTCATACGCAGTACAGGACATAAACCTAATAGTGGAATAACAATGCCTAAAGGTAACAGAAACAAAGAACATAAGAACTGGTTTTCAGTAGGACGCATGCCACTTGGCAGGGACACAGCAGGAAAGAACCCCACAATAGTGGAGGGAAGAGTCACCAGGGAGGAAGAGAGGGGACTGAAAGGTAGAAAATGTTATTATGAAACCTGAATTGCAACAATGTCAAAAGAAAACCACAGTGTCAAAAAAAAAAAAAAGTGAAAGGGGGTAGGGGGTGGGGACCAAAACAGGCGTAGGGAAATAGACACTAGGTAAAGGAGTAAGTGTTGAAACACTGTTTTCCTGAAACCCAATCATGAATAACTTTGTAATCAGGGTGATTTTAAATACAAAAAATTAAAAATCACCGTGTGATACAGCAATTTCACTTCTACCCAGCAGAAATAAAAATATAAACCCACACAAAAACATGTCCATGAATGTTATAACCATAGTAGATAGCAGCATTATTCTTAATAGCTAAATAAAAACAAAAAGGAATCAAGTACTGATATATGCTACAATACTGAGCCTTGAAACCTTGTGGAATATATTTAACTTATGCTAAATGAAAGAAGACAGAAAGAAAGACCATAGACTATATAATTCCATTTATATGAATATTTCAAATAGGCAAATGTTTGAATTGGTTGTTGTTTGGAGGTGAGGAGCGGTGGTACTGAGAGCAAATGAGGAATGATGATAAAGATCTAAGATTTCTTTCTGGGTGATAGAAATGTTCCAAATTTAGATCATGGTGATGGCTAACCAATTCTTGTTAACCGTGTGAGGATACTAAAATCTCTGGACTGCACACTTTAAAGGAGTGACTTTCATCTTAAGTAATTCTGTGGAATACATCCAATAACAGAAAAGCATACCAAGATAAACAGGATGATGATGATGACTTGGAATTTTAAAAGAGGAACTAAGGACAAAGCAGCATAAGCAAAGTCATTATTAGTTTGGGGTTTCTGGCAAAGTGTTTGTAACTGGTTTGTAATTGCAAAGTGACATCAGGTCATTAATCAATTATGTCAATAGTTGAACAAATAAATACATGTCATCTAAATCACAAGTAAAGACAAATCACAAGTTTAGGTGGAGGACCAGGAAGATAACTAGTGGGGCTGGAATTCATGCTTTGTATATGGGAGTTAGGGACAATACACGGTCAGCAGAGTGATGACAGTTGGGCTCTCTCCCCCATTTCCACCTCTCAAAAAAAGTTCTGCTAGATCTAAGACCAAAATTACACATATTTACTTTTATTGTATATTACATGGCTTTCCACTAATTCTAGCTGATCGTCAACTTTAGAAATAACAATTCTGGGGCTGGAGCAATAGCACAAGCGGGTAGGTGTTTGCCTTGCATGCGGCTGACCCAGGTTCGATTCCCAGCATCCCATATGGTCCCCTGAGCGCAGAGCCAGGAGTAACCCCTGTGCACTGCCGGGTGTGATCCAAAAAGGATAAATAAACAGCAATAACAATTCTGAGCTTTATATCAAGAGTGTTTGTTTCATTCAGAACAAACCCTGAATGATGGTTTGGCACATTATATACTGTTAGTATAATCTTCCTTGCTTCATACGTGCAACTCTGTTTCTCTTTGTGTTTTTGATAAGCACCCAGCAGTGCTCAAGGCTGGCTCCTGGCTCTGTGCTTACGGATCACTCCTGCTGTGCTTGGGGATCATATGGAGTGCTGGGGATCAAACACACCTTCACAGCATGCAAGACAAGCGCCTACTCACTGTACTATATGGCTCTGGGCCCCAAATGTGTTAAGTTTTTCTCACCACCTAGATATACCACATATTTTTCTATTTTCATTAGACATAAAGAAGACACTAGTTATTGTAGAGCACTTAAAAGCCCACAATGAAAAATTAATCACTGCAGCTGCAATGAAACTGGCTCTATTTCATACTTTGGGAAAACACATCCAGAAATCTAAAGATGGAAAGACATTTTGCTTTCATACTGCGCACAGGATTTCTACCTGTTTATGACATGTCTGCAACGACTGACTATCAGCATCAAGGTTCCAGCTCCAGAAACCTCCTGACTCTAACAAGTCTTCCTCTCAAATTTAGGCAACAAGGATAAGACTAACATATTAAACCTCATCCCTCTAAGATCCAAATGGTGGCTCTCCATTGGCATCCCTTTTAGAACCACTATGAGATTATGAAGAGTTCCAAGTAAAACCTGGTCAGAAAGAACTGTTCCAGGAAGCAAGCCCAGTACCTTTGTGCCTCTTGCTTTTCTTTTTTCTGGAGATGGTCCTCTCCCGGAGGCTGTCCTCCTGGCCATCCATCTCGTCACTGCTGTCAATGATGTCACAGGGCTCACCAGCCCCAGAAAGAGATTCCACGGCGGGAACCTGGGAGGCTTCCAAGCCACAAAGAGATTTTACTAGGAAAAATAATAAATAACGGGAGAATGAGACGGCAGGAGCCCATCAAGAAATAAAGGGTTTTGATGGAAACATCAAAAATATGATGGTGGGAAGGTGTAATGGTGGCAGGATTGGTGTACGAATATTAAATGTAATCAAATATTGTGAATGTGGAGTTCATGCCCAATTCAATCAGCTAATCAGTGGCTGAATAAATAGCAGTACTCCTACATAAAATAAATTTAAAAAAATATTGTGAACAACTTTATAAAAATAAAATTTAATTTAAAAAAATTTAGATAGTACAGAAGGAGTAGGGCATTTGCTTGCACATGGCCTACCCGAGTTGAATCCCCGGCATCCCATGATCCCCCAAGCAGTGCCAGGAGTAATTACTGAGTGCAGAGCAGAAATAACCCTTAAGCATTACTGGGTGTGACCCCCCAAAAAAAATTTTAAAAAGGGTTTAGTCAAAATGAGGAAAATGGATTAAGTAGAGACTGACAGTCTGTTGAAGCTGAGAGTCTCAAAGGAAAGATGTGTCTGCCTTTGCCAGATATAAGAAATTAAAAAGCATTGGGCAAAGTGACTCCAAAGTTGAGAAAGGGCCTCTATGAAAAGGTCAGGAGGACCTGAAGTTAAAGGAGTGCATTATTCTGCCACTCAAATATCCGCGGGATAAAAGCCAACAAAAAGGAATACTATTATGTCTGTAATACTTCTACAGAGCGGACTTGGAGGGAAACAATGCAATCTGACCTGGGCTGAAGGCATTGGGCATCATCAACACCCAAGTCTCAAGAGCCCTTGAGTAAAAAAAGGCTGAAAGAGAAGCCCGGGGAACCAAAAAAGAATCCTCCCAGGAAGCAAAGGGCCAAGTAAGTGGGGGGGGAATATGTAGGAACTAAAGAGGACAAATTAAGAATCCAGAAGCGAGCGCTAGAAACAGGGAACCCGCCGCCCAGCTTCTTCTCCCCTTCTCCCTGCCACCAGCTACTTTCTCGGTAACTCAAAGACAGACACAAAAATCTTTTCTGCGACACAGAAACCTGCTCGGACTCCGGGTTCATCCTGTGGCTCCCTCCGAAATTCGCGGAACCAGCCCGGGGGAGGGAGTTAAAAAAAAAAAAAACCCAACGGGCTGCCAAGGAAAACACAGCGGCAGGGCCCGGGGAGCGCCGCGCCCGCCTCGCCCGTCGTGCTGGCACCGGCCCCGCGCCGACCCCCGCCGCGCGCCCGCCTACCTTCCTGCTGGACCGCGTTGGCCACCGCTTTCTTGATCCGCCCGGACCTCACGACGGCGGGATCCGAGTTGGCATAATCCGCCACGGTCACTAAAGCAAACAATCGCAGGGCACTTGAGACGGCCCCTTGGGAGCAGCGGCCCTCCGAGCGGACGGTCCCCTCGCCCTCCCGCCCGCGCCGCTCCCGGCCCCGGCGCTGTCCAGCCCCAGCCCTCCGCCGGCCCCCCGCTCCCAACGCCCCCGAGCCCACCTCGCCCCGAGCAGGCGTCGTGGGCCCGGAACTTCAGCCGCTTCCCTCTCTTGGGCATGGCGACCGTGTCGGGGCGAGGCCGGCCTAGCGGGCCGGGACCCCGGGCCATGTCTGGGGCCGGAGGTCCGGCCCGGGGAGCGGCGGGCCAGCTCCGCCCGGCTCGGCGGCCATCCCGCTCGGGAGGCCGCGGCTCTCGCGAGGACGGGCGCCCCCGGGGCTCCGGGTCGCGGGAGCCAATCAGCGCCGAGCTTGGGCGACGCGCCATCGCCCGGCGCCCCGCGAGCCGGGGAGGCACGTCATCAGCCGGCGCCCGCGAGCCGCGGTCTTGCGGTGTCTGCGTGCGTCCTCGCCGACCCCCTTTGGGAGTCCGAGTGCGTCCAGGTCGAGTTCACGGCCAGATGGCCCGGGCCTTCCCGCCGCCGCGTCCGTGCAGTCTGGAGTCGGTGCGGACACGCGCTCGTCTCGTGTCGCCTAAGTGCGCCAACCCCCTGGAGCCACGTCGACGCGGAGCCTGCGGTTCCGGCTCGGTGCTGAGCCTCGCCAGAACTTCTTGGCGAAAGCCACGTCCGTTTCTGAAGCCCGCACGTGGCGGAAGGGGGTCTTAGAACTGCCCTGGACCCACCCCAGTCCTCCAAACGAGGCCGAGCGGATACTGGCTTTCTTTGTATTGAGAGAAGAGAGCCGCTGAAGGTCACAGCTTCCCCCAGTCCAGGGAGCGGGACGTTGACTGGTGTCCTGGGTTAGAGCCTGTCCTGACTTGTTTGCAGCCCTCCAAAGATGTTAACCCCCGGCTTCAGTATACAGCCGACCAAACTTCCAACCCGCAGGATCGACCAACTAGAGGGACCCCCTGTAACGACTACAGAGAGATTTCTGTTTTCCATTGAATTGCCTTGGGGGTCACGTTCTTCAAGGGCAACAATTTTACTAATATTGTGCAACAGTATTAGAGGTCATGCTAAGAGCTCGAATAATTGAGGCTGAGTATAATTGTCACTAAATCTAATTTAATTTGGGGCAGGAGAGTGCCTGCCTTGCAAGCAGCCTAGGTTCGAGCCACGTTACCTCAGATGGGTCTCCCAGACACCATCAGGAGCGACCTCCTGAGCATTGCCCCGGGCAAAACAAAATTAGAGATAATTCTAATTTGATTTTCAAAGTCACTACATAAAACAAGGCTCTAAGAAATTTAAAAATGGTTTTAAGTAATTTTCCAATGTACACATAATACATATTTGAGGTCAAGCACTAAGTGTTTATCTCAAAATGATATTTAAAAAAAAAAATTGATAAGGGCTACATGCTTGTAGGCACCTGCTGAAAACACACCCAGCATTGGGACTTTAAAAGAATTCAAGGACACATATACATACATTATTAATATGCCATCACTATGGTAAACTTAAAGGTTTTAACTGAAATGTTCTCTTGTTGTCAACACTATAATAGTATTTTCAATAGTATAATTAGTATTTTAATGTATAAAAAAATGCCTTTATTTTTCATAAAAAGAGGTTTTTGGTTTCCCTCCCCCCCCCCCCCCAAACTGTCTCATCTTTCAAAATGTCAGGAATGAGAGGCTCTGGCCAGAGTGATAGTACAGCCAGTAGGGTGCTTGCCTTGTACACCGCTGATCCGGGTTCAAACCCTGACATCGCATATGGTCCCACAAGCCGGCCAGAAGTAATTTCTGAGTGTGGAGCCAAGAGTAAGCCCTGAGCACCACAGGGTGTGGCACGAAAACAAAAACAAAATTAAAAACAAAATGAGAAGCTTTTAAGCAAGACCTCTCAAACTCCAAAGTCCTTTGACCACTAAAAAGCAAAAGTTTTTAACTAATGGCAGTTCTCTGCCAGACCAAAGATAATAGATTCTTTCTAGAAAGGCAAATTGTAAAAGTCACTAAAAGAGTTTGTTAGATTTAAATTCAGGTGGCATCTAGCTATTAAGGCTGGAAAAATAATGTTTTTCTAAAAATCTCTGTCCTCAACAAAATGGACATTTTAAGCATTAACTGAATACATGTAGCATTAGGATGCATTTTTTTTAGATTGCATTCATCATATTTGGGGGCTTATTAAATCATCTCTTGTGCTAACAATAAGTAATGGTGATAATGTTTATTTTATTATTATTATTATTATCATTATTATTATTTTGCTTTTTCTGGATTACACCCAGCAATGCTCAGGGGTTACTCTTGGCTCTGGACTCAGGAATTACTCCTGGTGGTGCTCGGGGGACCATATGGGATACCGGAGATTAAACTCCGGTTTGGACCGAATGCAAGGAAAACGCCCTACTTGCTGTACTATTGCTCTGGCTACCATGTTTCCTTTTTTTTTTTTTTTTTTTTTTTTTTTTTTTTGCTTTTTGGGTCACACCCGGCAATGCACAGGGGTTACTCTTGGCTCTGCACTCAGAAATTACTCCTGGTGGTGCTCAGGGACCATATGGGATGCTGGGAATCAAACCTGGGTGGGCCATGTGCAAGGCAAACGCCCTACCGGCTGTGCTATTGCTCCAGCCCCTCCCATGTTTACTTTTTAAGGCCCTTTCTCAAGCAGAACTTGATGCTGCTTCTCAGAACCTTCTTTTAAATTATGGTTGCCTGTGCAGTTCTAAAGTTTACAAACTATTGGTTTGGAGACATTGGAAAACTATTCTTTGGGACTTAAAAAAAAAAAGTACATAATTGGAATTTCCTCTTGGAAGCAGTATAGTATAACAAAACAATACAGACTAGGACTAATATGTTTGTTTTCTGAACCTGGGTTTGAAAGTGTGTCTGAATGGAGTACTATGTAGCTCTTAGAAAAGATGAAGTCATGAAATTTACATACAAGTAGTACAATATGGAAAGTATCATGCTAAGCGAAATGAGTCAGAAAGAGAGGGATAGACATAGAAAGATTGCATTCATCTGGGGGATATAAAGTAACAAAGTATGAGATTAATACCCAAGAATAGCTGAGATCAGCACCAGGAGGATTACTCCATAACTTAGAGGCCAGCCGGGTATCCTAGAGGAAAGGGCAGTTCAGATAGAGAAGGGAGCACCAAATAAAGGATGTTTGGAGGACCCTCCCAGGAGGGGAGATGCATGTCAAAAGTAGACTATGGACTGAACATGTTTGCCACTCAATGCCTCTTTTGCAGACCACAACACCCAAAAGGAGAGAGAGAACACAGGGGATTGCCCTGCCACAGAGACAGGGGGGATGGGGGGATGGGGGTGGGAGGGATATTATCCATGGTGGTGGAAAATGGGCACTGGTGGAGGGATGGGTATCTGATCATTGTATAATTGAAACCAAAGCACAAAAAATTGTAAATCTACAACTTAAAAAAATAAAATAAAATAAAGGGAAAAAAAAAAAGAAAGTGTGTCTGAGTGTTGAAATAACTCAAGCAGTAGAGCACATGTGTGCAATGTGTGTGCATTGCCGAGACCCAGAACTGGGGGCTGGAGCAATAGCACAGCACGTAGGGCATTTGCCTTGCACATAGCTGACCAGGGTTTGATTCCCAGCATTCCATATGGTCCCCCAAGCACCTCCAGGAGTAATTCTTAAGTGTAGAGTCAGGAGTAACCCCTGTGCATTGCCGGGTGTGACCAAAAAAGCAAAAAAAAAAACAAAAAAACAAAAAAAGACCCAGAACTACATCTTCCCAACTCCCACCCTTCAGCTACAAGAGTAGCCACAGACTCCAAGGACTGCCAAGTGTGACCCATAGATGTATTTCTTAAGTGTCTCTGCCACTAACTTAATGACATTGAAACAGGTTTTCAATATCAGTTTTAAAGGGTTTTAATCTGATTAAAGGGTTTTGGTTCTGTTTTTCTTTTCTATAGAGATAGTAACACCTACTTTGTAAGATTATTGAAACAAGTCTACACATTAGAAGTTACTTCTAAATTTGGAAATTATGTAGCAAAACATTAATTGATATTCTAACCAGTTGCTAGGATAATAGATTAGCTTATATACTTTTTAATATATATTTATGCATAGTCTAATATTACTGCAATTGTGTGTATATATATATACACATTGTTGCAACTAAAAAAACTAGAAAATGTTTTCCTTCATTAAAAAAAAAAAAAGAAGTTACTTCTATATGGGCTTGAGTGATAGCACAGGGGTAGCGCATTTGCCTTTGCATGCGGCCAACCCGGGCTCAATTCCCAGCAGCCCGGAGAACACCAAGTGTGACCCACAAAGCAAAAAAAAGTATATATCATTTGATAACATTCTCTCAATTAATGCTGCTACTATTATTGTGGTACTGGTGATAGTTAAAAATCATAGGATTTTTCATACTCCAATACTACTTCACCACAATTGATAAGGCTCAAAGTAGGAGGCAACCAATCTTAGAGGGAAATATACATTTTTTTTTACAGATGTCACTGTATCACTGTCATCCCGTTGTTCGTTGATTTACTCGAGTGGGCATCAGTAACGTCTCTATTCGTCCCAGCCCTGAGATTTTAGCAGCCTCTCCTTACTCCTCTTTCCCAATGATTGGAGGCTCTTTCAATGTCAAGGGGAATGAAAGCTGCTATAGTTACTGGTTTTGGCATGTAGAATATGCCATGAGGAGCTTGCCAGGCTCTGCCAGTGTGGATGGGATATTCTCGTTAGCTTGCCGGGCTCTCTGAGATATATGTGTATATATTATATATGTTAGAATATATATATATTTCTCTCTATGATTAGCACCACGCTCTAACCATCTGAGCTAACCGTCCAACTGGGCTGGAGCAATAGCACAGTGGGTAGAGTGTTTGCACGCGGCCAACCCGGCCGACCAGAGTTCGATTCCTCCGCCCTTCTCAGAGAGCCCAGCAAGCTACCGAGAGTATCTCAACCGCACAGCAAAGCCTGGCAAGCTACCCGTGACGTACTCGATATGCCAAACACTGTAACAAGTCTCACAATGGAGACGTTACTGGGCCCACTCGAGCAAATCAATGAACAACGGGAGGACAGTGCTACAGTGCTCTCTATGATTTTTACAGATATATATATAAAGCACATAAGGTTCAACCTTTAACAACATGTTAATGATCTCTTATAAAAGGGCTTAATAGCCCCTGGGTAAAATACAACAACTTCCACATTCTTTCCTCTAAGGATACCTTTTTTGTAGCATTTTCAGTGGTTTTTCATAACAATACAAAATATATTATT